CAGATGCCGGTACGGCGGCTGCGAGCTGCACTCGATCAGCGCCTTTCTCGGCGGCTGCGCCGCCCAGGAGGCGGTGAAGCTGATCACCGGGCAGTACGTGCCCATCAACAACACCTTCGTCTACAACGGCCTCACCGGGACGAGCGTCACCTACACGCTCTAAAGCATACGCACACACACACACACACACTCACACCTCTACTGTACAAAGAGCACACACGCCCCCTTTCCCCTGTAATACAGCTTTGCTGTTCTCGTTGTAGATTGTTGTTGATTGTTGGATCTCTCCTTTTCCTGCCTTGCGCAGTTGCTCTTGTCCCACAGGATGCTTTGTTCAATACAGTGATTCGGCATTGTAATGAATGCCTTCACTGAACAGTTGAAATATGGTCAGATGAGATGATAAGATGACTGTGGAGGGTGATAACGGTCAGTGGCCACAAACTCACTTCTTCAACGCTTTCTTCTGAACACCTGTGCACATTTGGCAGGACACGTGTTCAGTCTCAGTCTTCTCTTTCTCTTCCCTTTCTGCTCACAGTTTGCGTTTCAGCAACAGCAACAGCAGCAAGTGCTTCGGTCTCTCCCAACTTGCTTTCAGTCCGATCAACCCACCCGAAGACCCGATGCCTCCTCGACGCCCCCTTCCCGACCTGGTCCTCATCACCACCTTCAAGATGTTGACAGCAAATGACCAGATGGTGGCGAGTCTGACCAGTCCCCGGAGTGCCGTTCTGGTGAGAGCAGCAAATCGCACCGTGAAGAGACTGGCCATCACCAAACTAGATTACCATTTTAATCCATACTATTTGAAAGATAATCTCAACTTCTATTCCCTCGCCTCTTATCCAGCCATGCAGACGCTCATGGACAGTTGTGCTGACGGTGAGCCATCATTCCCTCACTACCCACTGATCACCACCCCTTTCAACCCTTGGAATGTCCTGCAGTTGGGCCAACTCCGACTGCAACTGGACACTGCGGCGACCATCGAGCAGATCACCACCGTCTTCTCTGCTGTCACCAACTTAATTTTCATCACCACCGTCCTCAACAAGGACGGCATGGATTTGGCCTCCTTTCTGCGTCATCCTAATTGGCAGTGTC